TAAACTTAAAAAAAAAAAAAAGGAGATGCCTAGGGGTACAGAGCACAGGTAGCATCAGCACAAAGACCCTGGGATGGGAGTAAGTTTTGTGCCTAAGAATCCTCAAGAAAAGTGTGTGTCAGAGGGACATAGGAAGAAGAGATGAGCTCACAGAGGAAGCAGGAGTTGGATCAGAAGTGACTGATAGATTAAGGAAAGAAGTTTGGGCCAGCAGGCATGGTGGTAAACACCTGGAATTCCTGTGACTCAGCAGGCTGAGGCAGGAGGACTGCAAGTTTGAGGCCAGCCTCAGCAATTTACCAAGACCCTGTCTCAAAAATGAAAACTAAAAAGAGCTGGGGATGTAGCTTAGTGGTAAAGTGCCACTGGGTTCATTCTCTTCTACCACATACACTAACCTCACTCACATGCACACATATACACACGTGTACCTGCACCCATGTACACAAAGTTTGGATTTCATTCTAAGTGCAACAAGAAGCTGTTGGAGTGCTTTAACGCAGAGGAGTGATATGATCTGATGTATATTTTTAAAAACAACAGATGGAAAATGGGGAAAGAATGAAAGCAGAATGTCAGGAAGTTCTTGCAGCAATGAGAGATAGTGGTGAACTAAATTGGAGTTTGAGAGGAAAGGAGCTTGATAATGGGTTTGAAATGAATGTTTTAGAGTCACCTCTTTTATAGTACAAGCAAAATACAGGGCAATATCTTTTCTTTCACAAAGGAAAAGTGTACATATATGGATCTACATATATAGTTACATATATATGTACATATACACATATAGTTAAAAAATATACATATATACCCACAAAATATACATACACACACACAACACACACACAAGTAGTATATAAATACACATATGGAAGAAATGAAGAAAAAAACAAGTGAGCTAATTTTTAATATAAGTAAATAACTGGAATATTTTATTAATCAACACTATTTTCTATAAGAGATATGTTTAACAACTATTTTTTTTTATCTTTGTATGTGATACTGAGGATCGAACCCAGGATGCACGCATGCCAGACAAGCGCGCTACCGCTTGAGCCACATCCCCAGCCCAATAATTATGTTTTTAAAAGAAAAAAATTGTGTTTTACAGACTTGGTGTTAGAGGTTACATTTCCCCAGATTCTAGGATTTGTGTGTGTGTGTGTGTGTGTGTGTGTGTGCAAGCTCAATATTGGGGATTGCAACTCAGCACTTTTTCTTTTTTATTTTGAGACAGGGTGGGGTTTTGTTGTTGTTTGTTTTGTTTTTTGTAACAAGGTCTGAACTCTAGAGTGCTTAACTACTGAGCCACATCCCCAACCCACACCTTTTTAAAAATCCTCCTGCCTCAGCCTCCCAAGCCACTGGGATTACAGGCGAGGGCCACTGAGCCTGGTCTAGTTAACTGAATTCTGAAGTTTGGGGCACTGTGAATAAACATTCAGTAGGTTACTCAGCAGAACAGCTATTAGTACCAACCACATGTCAGGAGTTGTACTGCACAAGGAACACTTCATGGGGGCCTTTTTGATTTCTGAGTCTGCAGGAAGTATAAAGTAATTTAACACAAATAATCTTCAATTATCAAATTTCAAGTTCTTGATTCATTGCCCTCTCCTTTGTGGATACCTGTTATGCCTTCCCAGAGCATTTATTTTGGTTGTTGATGTTGCTTAGAACTGATGATAGGGAAAGACATATGGGGTGTAGGTGCTAAGAGCGTGTGTAGAGTTGGTTAAAGAAAGGTAAGAAGCTACAGAAGGGAGCCAACATGACAACAAGGAATAACCGCCCAGGGAAAGGGGGAAAAAGTCCCGACTCTTGGTTTTGCTGGATAAAGGGTTGGTACTTGACAAAAGTGAGAGTAAGATGCTTATGTGGAGAAGGGGCATTGGAAATAATTATGGGGGAAGGAGGGTCTGAGTAGTAGTAAACATTGGTTTTGTGAAAATTTAAGGATTTGCTCTTTCCCTAAACAAGTCTCAGGATTGGCCCTTGAAAATTAAGGATGAGGGGCTGGGGATGTGGCTCAAACGGTAGCGCACTCACCTGGCATGCGTTCGGCCCGGGTTCGATCCTCAGCACCACATACCAACAAAGATGTTGTGTCCGCCAAAAACCAAAAATAAATAAATAAATAAGTATTTTTAAAAAAAAAAAAAAAAAAAAAAAAAGAAAATTAAGGATGAAATCGCACACACATTCTAAATTCTGAAAACCTCCCTTCATCTCCATTTTTATTGAGGTAAAATTCATATAACATACAATTAAGCATTTTAAGATGTATAATTCAATAGCATTTAGTGCATTGCTGTGCAACTGCTGCCACTCTCCATTGTCACTCCCCTTTTAACTGCTTGTATTAGAATCTTCCACTTGAATCATATAGGCTTGCCCTTCATTCAGACTCCTGTTCCATCAGGCTATCATTTCTGCTGGAACCCAGTCCCCAAAATTTTCTAGTCTAATCCCCATAACTTATGCTAGATTTGTCCTTCATGACATCCGGTAAGGGGCCAGAACTTTTCTTGGCTTATTTCTGTGAGAAGTGAGAGAAAGTCAAAATAATTCTGCTAATGACTTCCCAGATGTAGCCAATGTGGACAGCTCAAACCCAAGAAACTTCCTTGGATGTCGAGGGCTGAATAAAGGTATTAATAAAGGTATTACCCATAGTAAATTCTATCATCAAGGTGGGCCAAACCTTCCTTCCCAGCTTGTCAGTCATTCATACCATGCATAATCTTATGGAGGAACCACGCTGCTTCTGCCCCCACTATGCCACTAAAGTTGCTATAAAATTAGCAATGACTATTTAATTGCCAGATCTGCAGGACACTTCTATCTTTATCTTCCTTTACTTCTCAGAACCTATGGACAGCACAGAATAGCTCCTTCTTTTAGAAAATATCTCCTTGTTCTCTCCAGTATCAGGTAAGCATGTTTGGCTTATGTAACAGGAGGTTAAAGTATAACAGGGAGGCTGAGGTAGGAGGATGGCAAGTTTGAGGCCAGCCTCAGCAATTTAGTGAGATCCTGTCACAAAATAAAAATTAAAAAAGGCTGGGGGTAGCTCTGTGGTAGAGTGCCCCTGGGTACAATCTTCAGTACCACACAAAAGAAGAGGAAGTTCAGAAGTGGGCAGTTCCAAGTTCATTCATAAGATGAACCACCTCCTCCAGGACCTGCTTTTCCCATCATTCTCCTCTGTCTTCAGCATGCTGTTTCTCTCCGTTGCTTTTTGTTGTAGTATTTGTGGTCATAACATAGCTCTGGGAGCTCCAGGCTACCTGTCTTCCTGCTTTTATCTGAGAAATAAGATAGAGGCAGGAGCAAAAGAATTTTTTTCCCCTCAAAATACTATCTTCTTTACACAAAAAGATTTTCCCCTCAGGAGCCTCCCAGCAGACTTCCTGTAGTATTTCATCATCCAGAACTAAGTCCCATACCCGTCCTTAGACCTATCAGTTTCAAAGAGAAATGGAATTACCAGGATTGGTTTAGACCAATTGTGATTTATTTCCTGAGTGCGAGGAGGAACTTGCCTTCCTTGAAACCAAAGGATCTTCTTTCTACCTGAACAAAACTAGGATTAACAAGAAAGAAGTAATATAGGGAATGGCTTTTGGGTGAGGCAGAAAGTGGTTTATCTTAATTTTACTATAATCTATTTTCCTTCTGTGTATATGATTAAGATTACATTTTCTAACCCTTCCTTACAGTTAGCAATATTCATGTTCCAGAGTTCCTACCAATGAATGTAGAATAGATTTATGTATTTGATACCTCTAGGCCTGGCCTGTAAAAACTCTACATAATCATCCATATCCCGCCCCCTCTTTTTTTTCTAGTCTGAGATTTAAAATCTAGTGGTAAAATCCAAGGCTAAAAGGAATAGTGAAACCACAACAATCTGGATGAACTTCCTGGAATCCTGAATGACTTCATGGGAGAAAACAAACATCTCACTCTTACCACCCACAATGAACTGATGATGGGAGCAAGCAGTAAAACTTAATTGGGTTAAGCCACAGAGATATAGGGGTCGGGCTGACTGGGCTGACTGCTACAGCAGCTAACTAAGTATTCATGGAATAGGCAATGAAAATCTGCCTCATTCCCCTATTCAAGCTTTCTCTACTAAAGATACCCTAAAGGAGTCATGGAAAGAAAAATCTTGGGAATTTCAGTCTTGCTATACTCAGGGAAAGGATAAGTAAGGACACTGTCCATTCAGGGTTGGCATTCATACCCAAGGCCACAAGCATCTAATAAGTCATTCTGGGATTAATGCCCAGATCTTTTCTAATATAATTCCCACAAAAAGGACTAAGACTCCTTAGAGAAATGGCTTGGCCAGGATAAGTCAAAGATGAACTTGGAACTTCTATTATTCAGCAATGCTAAAAAAGACAGAAAACCAGACATAGTGGTGCATACCTGTAATCCCAGCAACTCATCAGACTGAGGCGGAGGACCACAGCCAGCCTCACCAGTTTAGCAAGGCCCTAAGCAACTTAGTGAGACCCCCATCTCAAAAAGGGTTGGGGATGGTGGTAAAAAGGGCTGGCTCAATGGTAAACCTCCCTTGGGTTCAATCCTCATACAAAAAAAGAAAAAAAAAAGAGGGATATAGAAGCCAACTTGAAAAGGTACCTATTCACTAAATCTCAAAAATTCTAGCACAAAAATAATTAAGGAGAATAATGAATTACAAACCATAGAAAAAATAGTAACTCATGCATCCCTGTCAGTAATAAATAGGCAACCAAATAACTAAATAAGAGATAAAGAAGGACTGGTATAGATAAGAATCATCAGTAGATGATAAACATAGAAGCATAATGAATGATCTAATGTGTCTCTTTACATATTGTTTATTAGTTACAAGGAAAAAATTAGTAAATATATTTTGGAGAAATCAGGCATCTTGACCAGGTGAGGGACAAAGAGTCATCTGCCCTTTGGGTATGAAATTCTGAGTACACAATATCACTTATGTAGTATCTAGACCAAGAGTGGATAACTTGAATCTAATAATGAATAAACATGAGACAAACAAAAAACCTAAAATAAGGAACATTCCATTATGGAGTGGGGAGGTCTGTTCTGGTGGTACATGCCTGTAATCCCAGCGGCTTGGAAGGCTGAGACAGGAGGATTTCAAGTTCAAAGCCAGCCTCAGCAATTTAGAAAGGTCCTAAGCAACTTAGTGAGACTGTGTCTCATGTCTCTAAATAAAAAAGGGCCGGGGATGTGGCCCAGTGGGTTCAATCTCTGGTACAAAAAAAAGAAAAAAAAAATCAAAGACCAAAAAAGGTTACAAGAGTATTCCAGATTAAAGGAACCTAAAGAGAAAGGACAATTAAATGCAATATATAACTCTAAACTGGATCTTGTGCTGGAGGGGGAAAAATGCTAAGAGAGATGTTATTCGGTCAATTGACAAAAATTAGTATATGGGTTATTGATAAAGTATCATATCAATGTTAAATTTCCTGGAATTGATAACTATATGTATTACATTTATGTAAGAGAATGTACTTAGGATATTCCAGTATTGAGGGGCAAGTGGGGGCATGATGCATGCAATTTACTTTCAAAAGAAAAAAATGTATGTGTATGTACACGTGTTTTATACCTTTATTCTACCTACCTACAGATGTAATCTAAGAACACAAATAATAAAGAAAAGGGGAGAGATGACATCAGTGAATTTGGGTAAAGGGTGCAGAGGTGCTTTTTAAAAATTATTCTTTCAACTTTTCTGTATGTTTGAAATTATATCTGGGATCTGGACTTAAAAAAAAATCAAGACTTCCTTCCTTTTGGCTCAGGGGATTTTCCCAGGTTTTGCTTCCTATTCTTCACTTCAAACCTTCCCACTCATCTGGATTTCCCAGTTTTACAACTTGTTGACTTTTTCTTGAATTCTCTTTTTCTTCCAAGCACTTTGGACTTACTAGTTGTTTGGATTGTTTGCTCCTAGATTTTTAAAAATTTTTGTGGTACTGGGGACTGAACCCAGGAGCACTTACTACTGAACTACATCCCCAGTCCTTTTTATTTTTGACTGTGAGACAGCCCAGGCTGACCTCAAGCTTGTGATCTTCCTGCCTCAGGCTCCTGAGTAGCTGGAATGACAGGCATGCACTACCACACCTGGCATTGGCTAACCTTTTGGATTTAGCTTCTCTAAAGGTACAGCCTTCTGGTCAGCTTCTCTTATTTGTCCTTAAGCACTGCAGCTCCTGAACAAGTGACTTCTTGCTTGCAACACTGAATCCAGGCTATAAGCCCTGGAGGGATCATATCCATCTTGTGGCATCAAAGCTTCTAATTACTAACAGCCTCATCTCCCTTTCCAGCTGCCCTGACTTTGTCTGGGAGGAAATATTTCACATTTCTGGCCCATTATCTTCATGTTCTTTGTTTGAACCCTCATCCTGTTTTCTAATTAGGTTGCATTTCTCCAGCCAGCTGCTCTTACCAGTATCAGTTCTCTCCTATTACCTGTCTGATTGAACCTCTAATTGCTCTTCATTGCCTTTCAAAGACCAACACAGGAGATGGTGGTGTAGCTCTGGTAGAGCACATGCCTAACATTGCACAGGTCCTGAGTTCAATCTCCAGCCACCTCAAAAAGGGAGAAAACAAACAAAAATGGACTCAATCTACCTTACTAATTTCACACCCTTCTCCATAGAACCATAAGCTTCTCCAGGGCATAGAACTTGCCTTTTCTTCTTTGCACCTCTAATTTCTAATGCAGTGTCTGGCACACAGAAGATGCCCTATATATAGGTGTCGAATGGACAAATGACTCTAGCTTTAAACTGTTAAGTTTTTTTTAACCATATCATATTCAAATATTACCTTCTCTGATGATGTTCTCTCTCACTCATTTTTTTTTCCTCACTAGATTGTAAGCTCCCTGAGGGAAAAGACCATTCATCTTACATCTGGCTCCAGTGTCTAGGGAAGTGTCTGGCATAGAGCAGGCATACAAGCAGTTTGCTGGATGAATGAATGAATGACATTAGAAAGAAGAAAGTACTAGATTTTAAGATGCTCCTTACCTGCTGGGTCCCAGTGGCACACACCTGTCTGAGACAGGAGAATTGCAAATTTTAGGCCAGTCTGGGCAACTTAGCGAGACCTTATCTTAATAAAAAAATAGAGGCTAGGGATGCACCTTAGTGGTAGAATGCCTCTGTGTTCAATCCCCAGTACCATAAACACTTAAATAAATAAGAAAACGAACTGCCTGCATAATGAGACAGATTGAGAACAGTTGAGATCAACAAGTAAATAAGGTACAAATAAATAAATGATCTAAGTTGTCAGGCAATGCAGAATGAAGATAACATGGGAGTCATTCAGGGGAAAGGATCCCCTGAGGGTAAATTTTGAGGTATGTTTGAAAAGAGGAAAGAGATATAACTTGGGAGAGTAGGAGATGAGAGCTGTTGAACCAAGGCAAGGTAAATAGCGTGCCTGAAGCTTGCTTTTGGAGCAGGACCTGTTCATCTCCAGCCTCAGGTTTCTGCCTTTTTCCTGGTTTACCAGGCAGGCACCCTCCCTCACTCTTCATGTCTTAATGTTTCCAGGGTCAGCCTGATGTGGGGACTTTATGTTCTCTAAACAGTAAGAAGGAAGTTTCTGTGAAAATAAGCAAACAAAACTGCCCTGTGGGATTGAACACTTTTGCTAACCCTGGTCCTCTAGGGAAATAAACTTCCCTGTTCCCAATAAAATGGAACTGCTCCCAGTGTCGTTTAGCCAGGGAGAAACCCAAATTACTTCCCTTAAAAGGGACTGTAGAACATTTTACAAAAATTGTCTTTTTTTGAGGAGATAGGGTTTCAAGGAAATCTAGGATGTATAATGAGTGAGATAGAAATAGAAATGGATAGCAGAATCTTGTTTCAGCCACATCTGTTTCCCTCCTCAAAGAGTATATGCAAATATTCATGATTCTGGACAGTTTTTCCCGTCATTTTTATTTTTAGACAGTGTCTCACTAAATTGCAGAAGGTCTCACTAAGTTACTGAGGTTGGCCTGAAACTTAGGATCCTCCTGCCTCAGCCTCCCCAGTCGTTGGGATGTGCAAGTGCACAACCCGCGGGTCCAGACTCTTTCATATTCTCGCTAAAATGATCAGGCTGGCCTGGAATTTGAATTTGCAATCTTCCTGCCTAAGCGTCCTGAGCATCTGGTTACAAGCTTATGCCACCACACCGGGCTCCTATCACTTTCTAGGGTTCAGATCATTGGTTCCTCTAGCATTTGTGGTATGCAACAAATGAATTATATTAGTTTCCCTAAAATATTCCCCACTTCACACAGAGCATTTTACACAACTGGAGGTGCATCTCCAGAATCTCTTGAGGCTGGGAGACTGTCTTTCTATTAGGATAAGCTAGTTTTCAAGCAGTGCCCGCTTTTTCAAGAACGTTGTGCCCAGTGCATTGTTTCCTGAACACCCTTACTACCTTTGGTAGAGGCAAGAAAATTATGATGTTGGCGTTCGCTCATTCGCGTTTTGAGAGGATGCGTTTAGAGCACAGCTATTTCATCTCACTTCTTAATGCAAATACAGATTCTCAAGGTAGCAATCAGATCCTTAAAGGGCATCCGATGTTCCTGAAGGCTTCCACATCCAGTACATGGATGTCATGCAGCTAGGGCGTCTCTACAAGGTAATGAAACACGAAAGCCTAAACGGAGGTAATTCCTCACCCCAGGAGGGTTTCCCGGGTAGACACTGCCTCTCTGCGAGCTGCCCAATCTCTTGGGTATACTCTAAACTACGGTGATATCACACTGGCTGGGATGACATTTTACAGTTGGATCCCCTACCGCCACCTGTAAACCACACCGAGCCTGTGGTGCGGAGGGGGCGACCCCCGCACTCGGTCCAAGCTGGCTCCCCACGGAGGTGTACCCTTTCCCACTGCCGTAGGTACTATGCGGTCGTCCTAGTCCGCGGGCTCCTCCGCACTTCCGCCTCAGTAGGTGTCATGGCGCCAGGCGGGTAGATGGTTCCGGCGAGGCGGGGCTGGCCGG